AATTGCCAGTTCTGTTCCATTAACAGCCACTGGCCGAAGGAACAATGTTCCTGTAGGTTAAAACAACAATTAAGGGCCCCTTAACACCTGAAGATGGGGAGAGGGGATACTGGCAGCGGATATTTTTCACACATTGCTAAGCTGCTTCAATGCATAAATTAACTCTTAGTTCAGTTACATCAGTGGAGTGTGTTGTGCATATGCATGACTGGTCTGTGTGTGAACCAAAACCTGGGCCTGTTGATTTATGAGAAAGGGTAAGAGAGGTTGAAATTAGTAAGCAAAGCCAAACAGTACCTTTGCAGCAGAGAATATCAAACAGTCTTTGTGACAGCTACTCACAGATGCTGATGTAAGACCTGAGGTCTTGGCATGGCAGTGGATTGTTCATTACGTAATTTTTTTCATGCCCAGGTCACTTGAACTGCATTTTGTTACTTCTGTAGCTGGACCTGTTTGTTCAGTGGAAGAACAGGATTCCCTGTAGTTGTATTAAATAACAAGTATAATTTATTGTAGTATAATTAGCAAGCGGATATATGGGGCATAAAATATTGCTAGACCATCGTAGATATTTTAATATGAGTTTATATAGAATAATAGTAATGATAATTATACATATTTTTGCCCTTAATATAAAAATGATTTTGACTTATATTAGGTGGGCAAGGAGAGCAGCTTGTAGTGTGCAGTGTGGTACAGTATGGTCATATGTCTACCAGTATTTTTGGGAGGCTGCATTGTAGAATGTGGCACAGACAAGGTTTTTGGTTAAGTCTTGAATGTAATGAAGAGTAGACTGGCAATATAACATTTTCATGTCAATAAATGGTGTTGTAAAATTTGCCAGTCCCTTAAGATCTTTTGATGAGTAGAGTTTACAGAAATAATTTGCAGAAAAAAAAAATCTGAAATCTAATATATGTGATAACGGAGAAATAAAAGCTGTAATGGTACATTTAGGATATATTTTTTATTACTCTAGATTCATTTCTGACATAACTTGTTTTAGTGAACCACTTGAATGATCTTGGTAGCTATGAAGTTTTAATAGCTAACACTTGGAAAGCCTTGTAGTTTAAACAAATGTCAACTTCAAAATCACATTCCTTCCTTAAGAAACTATCCCAGTTTTATTTTTTATAAAAAACCCCTACATGTGAAAGGCTGTTAGGAAGTAATGTTTTAGAAGTTCCTGTAAAATGATGACTTTTTTCTTGATGGGGTCTTTGTAATGTGTCACAAAACTTTCGCTATATGTTTAGTCTTCCTCCTTTATAAAACTGTTTATTAAGCATTTTAGAGCACTGACCCTTTGCTTCATGCAGGATTTGAAAGAAATCCATGTTTTACTAGAGTTGATTAAAGAAAAGAATGAAAGAGAAACACAGGTCCTAATGGACATTCTTATGTGGGTAAAAAAGGTAATAGGAAGGAGAGATTTTTGAGAAACCAAAGGTTTGCATCTGAACTGTGATTCAGATCTTTCTTTCATTACAATAGGCATTCTCAGGCATTCTAAACCTGGTAACCTTTTGGAAAACAAAAAGACTATTGGGAAAAACTGTTGGAGAAGGATATTATACTTTCTTATGCTTTGAATAATGGCTCTTCTTTTATGATCTATGCCTGAAATTTTTGTGAAAACATTGGATTGCATTAAAAACAAAAACAAAAACAAAAACAAAAAAAAAAAAAAAAAAAAAAAAAACCCCCAAAAAAAACCCACCCAAAAACAAAGACCAAAAAAACCCCAAAAAACCAAAAACAAAAAAAATCAAGTGTTTTACTAGCTCTGGTCACAAGTAGTTTCAGAAGTGTAAAAAGTGCAGCAGGCAGTTAGCAAACTTTTAAGATGAAAAAATGGGCAATGTATGAAGAACTTGTGATGAAAGGAATTGCTGCAGAGGGGCTGTTGTAGGCTGGGAGTGGGGATGATGTTCCAAAGCTGCTACACCATCCTCTCTGCACCCTCACCTCTTTGCTGTGTTTCTGTTACTTCTCTTGCTCTGTGACATACAAGGCACCACTTCTCTTGACAGGAAAAATAAATAATTACATGTATAGTGATTGAGAGATTCCAATTATTAATATTCCACTTGCTGAATTTTACAACCATCTCATTAATAATCTTATTTGTTATTAATGAATGAGCAGAGATTAATGTCTGCAGAATGTTCCTTGTGCACTCTAAAATTGGGCATTTGTGTTTCCGATCTTTATTGCAGAGTCACTTAAAATAGCTCCACTAACACTCACAACAGCCCATAAAATAAGTATTTGCAGAGGTTTTTGCCTTTCTGAAGGCCCAAGATGAAGACCTGACAAAGTTTCTAAAGCAGTGCAGTGTGTGGTGATGGGGATGGTGCACATCAGATTGTCTTTCATGTCTTGGCATCACTAATGTCTGCGTAAAAATCACATTGTTTTTTAAAACATGAGGAACATAATCTTGATATCGGAATAAACTGTTACACTGTTGATAATTTTTAAAACTTAAAAATTAGATTTAGAAAAATGCTTTTTAAAAAGTCTGACATCTTCAAGTGAAGGCATTTTTTTCGTTTTTACTGAGGGGGTTATGTGTTTGAAGAACCAATAAACAATGCTTATGTAACACTGCTTAGACTTTCACATCAGCCAGCTGGTATAGCCAGATACTCAGTTTTTCGGTTTTTTTTTTTTTTTTTTTTTTTTTTTGGTTTTTTTTTTACCTTTTGGAGGTATTTGTGAGTAGCTTGATGTTTTTGACATCTGTGTGACAGCTTCTTGCATAAGAGATGAGCAGCATGTTCTACCACCCAGCTGTGTGTATTAGTCTGCACATCAAGCTGAAGAGCAGCACTTAGCCAGATCTGACAATCAAATGTGAACTACTACTGCCTATACACAAGAGTGCATTTTAATGTTGTGTGCTTTTTGCCAAGTGCCTGATACTTGACAAAGAAATTGTCAGAATCTCTCTTCTTCCCACTTTTATTTTTTTCTTCCCACAGATGTGAGTCCATGTTAAAATATTTTATTTTTTTCCCCTGCAGTTTAATATGGTTTATCTTACAGGTAACAAAGCCAGTCTAATGTTTTCAGCAATTTCATGTAATAAAATTCTGGCAAGTTTTGGTAATAGAGGAGTGTAATTGTTTTAGAAAATGCAGGAAACCCGTGTGTCATTTTCTGCCAACTTAATCTGAAGTTACAATCTGCTGTGTTTCACCAATGACTTCATGTCAACACCCAACAACCTGTCCCCAAAGAAAACTGAGGACACAAAGAAGTTACACCACTAGTTCAGAAATGTCAGTGCTGCTCTTCTCAGGCTCGTTAACAATCGGTGCTCAGCACATTGTGGGTGTGGGGGTGAGTGGGAGCCACCTGCTCTGATTGTAGTTTGACTGATCTATGAACCTTAAAATCCTCTACACTTCCACCTGACTTTAAGCCTCTGTCGCCTTTCTCGGTGCTGAAATTTGAATGGAAGGAATTCCTTGTCACAGAATGCACAGTTACACTCCATAGTTCAGCTTTCCTCGTTTACGTGTTTGCTGTAACACAGAAGTTAGTTAATACATAAATAGTTTTCTCTTCCTTTTTTAAATAGTAGTGCCAGAATAGTGAAGATCTAGTTTCACCTTGTTTTGAACTTGGTTTTATGAAAGTGTTAGTCATACCTTTTTTTTTATTTAATGTTTCCCATTGTATTATATCCTTAATATTTTTTTAGAAACAGTATTCTATTTTCATCTGGTCTTTCTCTTACAACATAAAAATATTGAATTTTTTCTTGTGCTAGTGTTTATGTAGTTGAAAATATTGCAATCAAAATAAAAATTTGAGTCCTGTTACATATTTAGTCATTATGGCAGATACAGTTTTATGGTCTTTGAGTTGCAAGTAAGTTAAAATTTGTTGATAATCAAAGTTTGAAAAAGCAATCCCCGCAATCTAAAAGAAAGAAGTAGTAGAGGAAGGAGTTTATTAGTTTTGTAGGCCAGAACTTCCACTGTAATAATTTTTACACTGTGGTTAAGCTGTACTTACATCAAGTTAATGTTGAGTTATTCTGTGAGTAGATCAGTGTGAATGGACCTGTCATGGATCAGGATTGTTTGATTCCAAAAATTCTGATGGCATGTTTCACACATCTCTTGCACTTGGCAAATCATCAACACAATTAATTACATAGTGCCACAAAAAAATCTATTTTGATTAATAAAAACCTGAAAAATACAATTTGGAGAGACATCAGGCTTCGTTCTTAGCAATTTATTAGTGGTCACACTGGCTAAATATTGGTGGAGATGCTCTCAGTCTAAATCAGAAGTAGAAATGGAATTGAGAGAAGAAGGGGACAGAGGAAACCTGTTTTTACAGGCAGCTGGTTCTTTGTGCACTCTCAGCATCAAACTGGATTTATGGCTGTCTCTGGGATGGCAGGTCTTGAGGGTGGCTTTTCAAATATTGTCAGGCTGTTGGGGCTTTGGGCTACAGTAGATTGTGCTTTCCTTTTATTTCATAAACTATTTCAGGAAATATTTTAGAGTACCCACAATACTGGGGCTTATTGTTTTAATGAAGTGGGTTTTTGAGCCATTTGATGAAATATGAGCTTTGTACCCATTGGCTGCACAAATTGAAGTAAAAAAGAAAAATGGAAAGGAAACAAGAAATGAATGTGTAGTTATAAAGTAGGCGTAGGTCTGAAGAACATAAGGCCAAGATGAATTTTGATCAGTGTAACAAGTACTGATATCTAAAAAAGAACTTGGGAGTAAAAACACTCATGAGCTCTAAACTGCCTAAACTGAATTACTGCTTTGCAAGCAGAGAATTTCCCCTGATTTTTTTTTTGTTTTATTTATTTAATTTTCCAGAATTGAAGATAGTAAAAGAAGTAATTGCGCCTGATTTTACCATTTAAATACAACTATTTTTATACTTCTCTGATTATATCTTGGTTTTTAAGTCTAATTTTCTGTTTCAATTTTGCTCCTTCAAAACAGAGGAAAAAACTTCTTGAAGAACTTGGGGAGAATAGACTTCCATACCTGACACCAGCCGATGCTGATTTCCACCAGCTGGTAACGTATTTCTTTTAAGTAATTTTAAACTAAAATGGCTGTTTGCACTGAACAACAAATAAATCTTCCTTCAAAGAGACACTGTGAAATCTGATATGAAAAAAGGTATCCTGATAGCTGGTAATGCACTTCCAGGTGGTTGAAATAAGATCTCTAGAACTGGGATGTTCACAAATGAGAACTTGGTGAACTTTATTTTTATGTGTGTGCCCTCACTACAAGTAATGTATAACAGTTAATCACAGTTTTTCATGCTTTGCTGAAGCAAAATACTTATCGTCAATATTTTAATTTATTTTTCTGACTGGTGAAGATAATTTTATAGCTCCTGTTGGGCAAAATAAGGGAAATATTAACATAGAAATTTAAAGTTTGTCAGGCTTAATTCTACTTTCCAACAATAAGTAATTGTTACTTTGCTTGCAAAACAAACTGTGGAAACTGGAATGCCTCAAATGAAACCAAGCAGAAGTAAGATCAGGCCCAGCAGCCACGTGAGTAGTGAACCAAGTGAGTGTGTGCAAGAATATAATGAAGAAATAGAATTTTCTGCATCTGTCTTGGATCTTTCTAGATCAGCTACAGAACTCAGGGTAGGTTCAATCAGATCAAACTGGATCATGGTAAGAGAAAAAGCAAAAGGAATGACCTGGCTGTTTGAAGAGCTCCAGTGACCATGCTGACATTACACAACACAGGAGTGTGCCTGCCTTGTGTTGATATATGGCTCAAAGATGTGCAAGTGTGGAAGAGCTGGGAGAATTTATAAGAGCGATACAGATGGATTTTATTATTTCTTCTTTCTTTACACAAAGCCCAAACACATTCTTTTCAGTCTTAGTGCTCATGAAGAAACTCTTCCCTCTTTTAAGAAGTGGGCAGCTGACTTTTCTCCTTCCTAGTCCTGTTCCTGTTTGTTCTCTTCTGCCTCTGATGCTGCCAAGAGCTGCTGTGCCCAGCATCTTCTTTCTTTTTCACATCTTTGTAAATTCAGCTTCTCCTGGAGCTGATGTGAAAAGAGAAGGTGGCATCTCTTTTGCTCAGGGTCAGTAACCCATAAATACAGAAGACAATGGGAACAAGATAAGCAGTAAAATCACACCTGTTCAGTCCTTAATAATTTTTCAATGCATTTTGTTTTCAAATATGGAATTATACTTTTTATGTAGTGTGTGTGTGCATGTTAGGTATTTTTAAGTGTATAGGCTAATCATAAACATCACAAACACCTTTTGAAGTCTGTGGTGGTTATGAAATGTTCATGGAATCACAGCTGTAGAAATTGCAAGTTCCATGATGCTTAAATGCGCTACAGCTGGGGAGGAAAAGAAGGGTGAGAACTTGAAGACAACAAATTGGCAAAGTAAAATATCCCATACAGTTTAGTTTTATAATCTGTCTTTCCTGGACAGACCTGCCCTACTCCTTGAAGGATCTAACTCTTATGAAACAGTATTCTTTGAATGTGTTGGAAAAGTTAGGTAGGATGCAACTTAAAAAACTGTCTTACCTGTCAGGTATGGAAGTGTACAGCCTGAACAGAAGTAAGAAATTCCATCACAAGCAAAACTTCCACTGACATCCTCTTTCAATGTGTTTTTCCTGATAAAGGATTTTGGAAATGGGCCCCAAGCCATAAGCTGAAACAGTGTAATGTTTAAAGCCAGTACAGAACAAGAAAGGGGCTGCAACAAGGTCGTTCACAAATATTTGAAGTTCAGACTATAATTTCATTATTCACATGGCAGTTTGCTTATCAAGGGTCCTTGTTACTGATTCCTAACTTTATTCTGTCACTCAGGTCCATGGGGTGATTTCTCTGTGTTGAGCATCACCATCAAAAGTGAAAGCATACTTAAAATCTTGTGTGTAATAGTCAAAAAAGATTTGAACATCAAATGTGTTTGGTTTTTTTTTTCTGTACTGTAGTTGCCTGTAATGCTGCCACTTCTTTCAGAGTGAGCAGTGCGTTGACCTCTGATGCTGGCTGTCAGAGTTACAAGGCAGAGTACATGATTGCTGCCCTGCCCCACCCCCAGAACAACAAGGTGTCCAGCGTGAACCCAGCAGTCACCCCGTGTTCTGATCCTGTAATTCTTTCCTTATGGAGGGCACAGCACAGGCACTGGCTGGGGATTTAAAGAAGACCAGGCTGTTTTCATGTGATGTGTCGGAAATGTGTTTCCACTTCCTGATTTCTTTTGAGATACCTTAATGATAAAATAGTTCTTAAGCATGGGATCTTAAAGCACAACCCAAAGGTAACAGGCCTCTTGGCTGGCAGCAAAATGTGCAAGGCATTACCTCTGCAGTTCAGGAGGGGAATACAATGTTGTTTCCTTTGTAAAATCTGTGTTCTTCCTTTCTAGTGCATGTTTTCAGGGATTTAATTGCTTTACGTCATATTGTTATTTCCCTACTTCTGTTCCTAATAATTGTTTGGAATTTTGTGTGTGTGATTAATGTCAGAAATTCAATGTATTTATATTTTCATATAAATGGTTTAAAAATATATAGTATTAGTGACTGCTTAAATACACCATAATAGCATATGTGATGTGGTGTGAGTATGTCCAGTATACGGAATTATTTAAAGGAATACTGGGGTACTGCTATAGAACTGTTAGAGCTCTTTCTTTCATACAGGGCGTTTGCATAATGAAAGAAATAATGAAGTAATAGTCTTTATATGTCACAACACATAATATTCTAGCATTCTTAAGCAACATTATGAAAGAATATTTATGATTCCCATGAGCCTGTACCTTCACATCTGACTGTAGCCTATAGCTCCAAGTCCTAAATTTACAGTTACTGATTTCATTTGTTGTTGTTTTTAAGGACTTTTTTCACTGTATTGTTCAAAGGCTGGAGATACACAGCACTGATAGAAACAAAAGGGGCAGTTCAGGACCTCTGAAGGAATCATTTCAGGCTTTTGACAAGCTCAGGTGAATGTAGTTTATCAAGTTTGGATTCACTTCTTTGAATGAAAGCTGTGATCCTGTGTTCTGGGGTTGTAGAGGGACCTTCACACAGATCTGGGACTGTTTTCAAGCTTTGGTGTTTGAAGCTAAGCATGTAAATGCAATTGTCAGAAATTATTATCTTTAGATACTGTTACAGGGATTTATTTTCCTCTCTCTAGGAAGCTAGTTTTTGGAACCATAAGAACATATAAAGAAAAGGAGTTAGCTTCACTGTAAAAATTTACAAGGAATAGTGGCAAGGTTTATAGATAAACCAAGATTTATTATATGTAATCATTATTTTTAAAATAGGCTTCCTTTTATGTTCTTCTTTTTAGTAGAAACAAATGAACCTATAAAGCCAGCTCTTCAGTGTTATAGGATAACAGTGCATTATGATGCAAAAGTCTGTTTTCATGCAGTGGAAAATGTGAATACTTACTGCCTGGTTTGTATTTTTTAAGGGCACATTCTTTGGATTTTGAAATTAATTTCCTGAAAGGCAGGTTCATATGAGACTTGGAAGTAGATAGTACTGGTAAAGGGGGTTTGAGTTGTACCAGAAGGAGCTCACAGATGGATTGTAGGTCAGTGTGGTGTTTTGTGCCGGTGACTTTTGTTTGTCTTTTAAGAGCACTTTGAACATAAGCTATTAGACTAATAATAAAAGTTTTGGCAGATCAGTTTTATGCATCCATGTGCTCTTGCCCTATTGCCTAATGATTTCAGTCCACCTTAACATGTGTCCCCACACCACCATCAGTACCTCTCTGGACAAAAGGAAATAGGTGTGGTGAGTCCTTAGGAGCTTCACAAATGCTAAGTGATGCCTGATACACTCACATTACAGCCCTTCCCCTACTAGGGCACTAGTGTGCATCTGTTTCTTTTATTTATCTATTAATTTTAATGAAATACGTAAGAACCCACTCTTTAAAAGAACTTATTCCCTAGCCTTTGTCTAGTTTGCCAAACAGTCGCAGCAGTAGTTAAAGCAGATTTACAGGCAACCAATAAAAGGTGTGATTATGTGATACTCACTTCCTCAGAAAACCAGATTAACAAAATAAAATTATCCAAGCCTTCCTGGAGTGGGAAGCAGTATTGTGCATACAAAGCAAGAAGCTGCTGATTAGCAGTGTTATACCTTGCTGGGAGTTGCTGCCTCCACACACTGCTGCATTCTGAACCCCAGCTGATACCAGAGCTGGTGTGGTCACAAGAGGATATGAGGGAAAAGGACACTACAGGTAGGGAGCTGGGGAAGAAAATAAGTTTGGACATTTTCGGTTACCAAGAGAGCTTTTATATAAAATGAGGGATAATTGGCAGGTACTGAGGAATGTAGAAATAGAAAGCACCAGAATGTTAGTGGAGCATTTTTTTTAAAAATTTACATTTTGATGTTTTTATTTTTTCCCTGAAAAGTATTGTTAGATAAAGCTATTTGAGTGTATCATGTAGATCTCTAGATTACTGTACATCAGAATGAAACTGAAGGGTCTTTGCAACCATTGCAAAAGAGGAATCACTTTCTTACTGCTTGATATTCTCTTGTTTATATACTTAAAGGTGGCATTATCTACCCATTCATCACATGAGCTGTATGTTCTGCTGAATTGTTCTAGAGTCTTCGTATTTATTTACTTGGAGATTTGCTCTGGTTTAAGCCACTGATACATATCCACAGCTGATGCAATATCCTGAAATATGAAAAGTAACAAGTGCTGGCATCCATATCTTCACCACATTCTAGACTCATTCCTGTTCACTTGACAGCTTTGCCTTGTCTTGAAATATCTTGACTCCTGTAAAAAGAATAATTATTTTCCTCTTTTTGTTGTTTGGGGTTTTTTTCTCCTTTAGTGGAAGACCAAGTATTCCAAGCTGATTTTCAGGAAATCTGATACAGTACCTGAAGAGCTCCATCAAATGGTACAAGAAAGCTTTCTGGCCTTGCGAGAACACAACTGTTTCTTTCAAGATCTTGTAAGGATCAAAGGAAAAGACTTTCTTACTCCAGTGTCTCGTATATTAATTGGAAGCCCAGGATGCACTTATAAGTACTTGAACACAAGATTATTTACAGTTCCTTGGCCTACAGAAAGTTATGATATAAAATATTGCAGTCCGCAAATACATGATGCTTGTAAAGCATTAATGAGACTTAATGACTACTTGCATATTGAAACAGTCAAGGCATTACAAGGACAAAATTTGTTTGAAAACAAAGAAATTAACAATACTGCTGTACTAGATAGGAAGCAAAGTTTTGCTACTTCTCTTACAGAGCAAGTGTCTGTTTCAAAATATCAAAGCAGTGTTTGTGTACCAGAGGATGACAGAAGTCTAAAGAACAGAACATCATATAATTTGACTTTATTAAATTATATGGATCCACTACAAATGCTGTACTTGAAACAAGAACCTTACTTTGGAATGGGGAACATGGCAGTGAGCTGGCACCATGATGAGAACCTGGTGGAGAGGTCAGCAGTGGCTGTGTACAGTTACAGCTGTGAAGGTGAGTGGTGGGACTTGACCAGTCACAAAAATCCCTGAAATCCCTGAAGCTCTCCTGTGTTCCCTTGTGTGCATGTACATAAGCATACCTGCATGCTGGTCTAGACTTGTCACATGCTTCTGAATGCACTGTGGTACCTTTTGTATTGAAGTCTTGTCTTTATTTCCACCAAAACCTGTACAAAATACCTGTGTTTACTGCAGCTGGCTTAGCAGTTGTTCTCTAACTAGATTTAAACATTGGTATAATTAACTCCCTGACTAAGAGCCAGGAAATCAAAATCTGTCAAATGCCTTTCTCAGGTTAATGCATGTGCATGTTTTCTGTCCTGTAAAATGTTTCACTGTGGTTGGAATCACCATTTTTATAGTGTTATTTATCATATACAGAGTTGCTTTGCTTTGTGCTGATTTTACTACTCTTCTTTCTTTGGAAAGATCATTTTCTGTTGGTCTTGGATAGAAGTATTACTGTATTTACTTAGAAATATATACATTTTGTCTAGGCATGCTGTAGTGTTAATGTGTTTTTTATGGAGGACTTGCCAGCATTTCTCTGGGAAGAGTGGACACTTTGCATTAAAACAACTCTTGTCTGACAGGCTTTGCAGGCTCTTGCTTATTTTAAAGTGAATTGCATACAGCATTTTAGGGGTGGTAGTGGTAAAAATGCAGTTGAAACATCATTAAATATTTCATTTTTAGTTTAAAGCACCTGCCCCATTTTTATCGTTATTTAAGAGTGAACATGAGGAATTTTTGTTTGGTTTTTTTTCCTAACAATGCTTGAACAAAGGCTTGGATATTTTTTTAATGACTCTTAGTTTTGCAAACATAAGATTAGAATTTAGAAACTTGATTTGAATTTGCAAATGTTCTGTTATGTTTCATCATTAGCAATGGATTTTTTCTTCTTCCAAAAATCCTGTGATGTTTGCTTTAGAACAGGGAAAGAATTTGCATTGACTTCAGAAGGTTTTGGCTAAAGACTATGATATAAAAATAACAGTTTATATTCCCATGTGCATTCTCTTATTGGTTTTGTTATTAGTTTTGAAACTCAGTGTCACTTTGTTACTTAATGTACAACTGAAGTCATATTATTTACATTTTCCTGGATATAAAACATCAACTGGCTTAGCAAATTGAGAAGAGATTTCCTGACTGGTAAAAGTGTAATTTTCTTCATGAACTTCTTTCTGTCCTGTTTGTCAGTGGTATCAAGTAGATGTGTTGGGTTTTTTTCCATTAATACTGTAGAGAAATATTTTTTCAGTAGGATTTTAAGTTAAAGAAACCTAAACATAATACTATAATAATACTGTGTATGAGGGTTTATTGTAGTATGCTTAAAACTTTTTGCTTTAACGTGAAGTTTGCTTATAGAGGGGGAAAAAATGAGTCCCTTTAAGTTCAGCTATAAATGAACAAAAATGAAAGCTGCTATGTTTATTCTTAACTTGTCAGTTGATTTTCTTTCTTTTATTCAGTGAGTTAAATAAGTAAAAATTATGGTGTTTTAAAACCACTAAAAATTCTGTAGAAGATTTGATTGATGTGGGTAGATAGAAATATTTTATATTTTTAGGCTAAAAGTTATTTTGGTTTTTATGCATAATTAATTTTTTTGCCTAATACAAGGTTTTTTTCATAAATACACTTAAATTAAAAGTTTGTATTTTTTTCTGAAAAGTTGGGAAATAGACAGGAAAACAAAGAAAACAAGATCTTTCTAGTAAATCAATTGATTGTTCTATCATTAAAAAAAATTAAAAGTCACTACTTGCAATTTTTCTGATTTTGCATTGCTCAGGTCGAGTTCTTGAGCTTTAGAGGGAGTTTCAGGTGCCTGCCATGGCAATGGAGCAGCGTGGAGAGATGTCCTGCAGTCCAGCTCTGTGTGCCAGCAGTTCACTCCCATGTGTGTCAGGGTTGTCATTGTGTAACCCGAAAGCAATGACCTGCCTGTTCATGAATTGGGGGAAATGGATCCTGTTTATACTTAGGAGTATGGTTTTGTAACTGAAGTGTGGGTAAATACCTCTTTGTGTTAAAGTTTTGTACCCAGTGCATCCAAGAGGATTTGATTTGAGAGAAGTAAATTTTGCTCTTCTGATTTTCTGGTAACAGCCTTCCAGTGCTGGTGGTTATAAGCTCAACAATGTTTATAATATTATTCCTTCCACTTCTATATAATGTCAATGTTTGATGGTTTCTGCAAAGACTTTCAATATTTCCTATATTACCAGGTCTCCACAACTGTGAAACATGAGGATCTCAGCATCTTTTTGAAGAATATTGTTATATTTTGAAATCATGTCTTGACTTTTTATTTTCCATAAATATGTTTACTTTTTATGCCGACATCTTTTATTAGCACTTACTCCACTCATTCATTTAGTATTGAATTAGCCTTGAATTCTCAGTGTAGTATAAAAAGACTGTCACAGAATCATTACAGAACACATAATAAAATGAATCGTTTTGGTCAGAATTTTTTTGTTGGAGCTATTTTTCCTTAGAAAATGTAGGTGAGCTGGATTAGTAATTTTCTGGGAGAAAACACCGCTTCAGTGGGAAACACAAACACAAATTAAGCATGTTGATTTTTGTTGGAACTGGCTTGATTCTTTTTTCCTGCATGTTTTTTTTTTTTTTTTTTGTCAGCTCTCAATTCCTCAAATCCCCAGTGGACACTGAGGGTCTGTGGCAGCCTTGGCATGTGGGAGCTGGGGCTTCCAGGGCTGCATGGCTGGTACTGACCTACCCTGCTGCAAATGCTCAGTCCCCAGGTTGTCAGATTTTGAGCAGCAGCAGCCCTTGGAGTCAAGCAGTCTTACTGAGCTCTGGCAGCTCTGTCAGACTGTTTAGAGATGCACAACTCAGGTTATATGGTTTTCTTTGTACTTTCATTTACATCTTTATATCAGTATTTGTTTTGTACCTACTTACTGGATTAAATAGCATTAAAACAGATACTACTGTAATTGAAACAACTTGTTTTCTTGTTCATTTGTTCATTGTTTGATGCCATAATGAAAATTTCATGTTTGAAACTTTGATCAGTGTTAATTGGAGTAGAAGCAGATTTCAATATGCCAGAAAAGAAATTTAGACATCAACATAAAGATATTGGAACAAGCTGATATTCTAATTGGTATCAGTGTTTATTTTCTTGTTTCCAGTGTAAAACTCTTTCAAAGCGACTTCAAATGAAGTACAATTCTAACAACAAAATAAAGTAAACATTTAGTTGATGCTTTTACTTACATTACATCAGGTTAAGAGTAGGTTGTCAAGTGATGAGAATAAAAATTTGAGAGGTTTCCTTTTGGTGTGTATGCTGCATGAAAGTGCATGAGTGGTAGTCAGGGTGCATATGCAGAATGGAATTGGTTACAGAATGTGTGTTCAATTATACTGCCACTAACACTATTTGGAATTAATTTAATTTCAGAATTTATCAAGGAACGGGAATTTCAAATTTTGATCAATTCAGCATTTTTAATAACACATTAGCTTACAAGTATCCTGTCACCTGAGAGCATGAAGGTAAAAAAATTGTTCAGGATTTTAATATAGTAAGCTAATAATGCATATTTATTTCCTGCTGCGGTTATAAAGTGAATTGCAATTCAGTAGAATAAGGGCATTTTCAAAAATTGGATTTTATCCATGAAAAGTTCCTAATGACTAGCTTTCCATCAGGTCAATGTAAGTTTTGTAGGAAGTTTTATTACTTACCAGAGCACTAGTTGGTTCTATAGATGTTCTTTGAAGTAGAGACCTGTTTCAGTTACAAACTTACAGGAGATGGAAAAAAATGTAAACACTTGAAGTGTGTCCATCTTCTCTTACCTGGATTTCCCACAGAGGAAGAGATTAGGTAAGTAGTTTTCTCTAGATTCTATACCATATCCAGTTTGTTTTCTTGCTGTAAGGGCTACTTGCTGTTTAACTCTTGAACTCCTACAAACTGGCTCTGTCTGCTGACAAGGTAATGTTAAAAGGTTTAACAAACTTACTGTTAGTTGCAGTGATGACTGATCTTCAAGGACCTTTTGTGCTTGTTTCTTTTGTGAAATGCTGCTTGTATGTTTTTACTCTGTGAAGCTAGAAGCAACATCCTGGCAGATAGTCTAATGATGGCTATTTCATTTAATTGGGAATAAAAATTATTAAGATGAACAACAGATGTATGTTTCCCCACCATATTAAAAACAATCCTGAAACTACGAAAGTTGTTCAGCATTGAAGTCAGTCTAACTTTGACAATAATCCTCTTTATGTACTGCTTAATGGATAAAAGTCATAGAGTAGATGCTTTTTTGCAGTATTGGAATAATTTCTAATGACAATAATATAACATAAATATTACTTGTTGAAGTAACAAAAATGGTATGTAGAAAATGTTATCTTACTTTTAAAGAAATGGGTAAGTGTATGAAATGGTCACAGCTCTAACTTGTAGGGTCTGACCAGTTTGGTTTATGTTCTCAAAGACGCAAATTTTTAGTGATCCACTAATTTTCATAATAATAGATTAGAATCCCTGTTGTCTAAAAAGAAATCATCACTTGAATAGACTGTTGTGGGTTTGGGGTCTCTTTTAAACATCTCATTGATCAAATACAGCCTCTCCTTCAGAAATGAAGGGATCACAGAATATTGTTTGTTCTTATTTTCATGCTTTTGTTCCTGATTTATGTGGATACACCATTCCAAACATGAATTGATAAGAACATTGTTGGCAAAATCTTATGTTTTTTTGGTTTTGTGAATGTCAGTTGCAAGAAAAATTTAAATGTTAATAGAATGTAACCTCTTATACTATGGTTTTTCAGTAATGATGTAGAGGAAATAACTTTGGGTAGATACTTATTTCTCATCAGCTGCTAAGAAGCAAAGCAAGCTCTGCTTCTTCCACTTCTTGCATGTAACATATATAAGTTGCTATTGAAAGACGCTCATAATTTATGTATTTTTTTCATTGAGGAACAAGGGCATTCTGGAAAAAATCAATCAATCTGTAAGAAATAGTATAACAGTGGTCAGTTGGATTTAATGTTGAAGTAAATGCTTACAGTCCTTGTTCTTACCAATGTGTTGGCAGTGATTCTATTTTCTTAAGAAATGGTATGTAAGGTTACATTTAGGATATAATTTGGCATTACAGTTTAACTTGAATAGAGATAATTTTAGGTTTCAGAGCATCAAAAAGTCTCAGACTCTGGAAGATTTTGGAGCCAAATAGCAAAGAAACCTTTCAAAGCTACTTTTACTTTCTGTGCTCTGGAACAATAACCAAAGTAGTTCCAGGAAAACAAGTTTCATATTGTTCTGAACCTAACCCTGACCCAAACCTGATAAGATCAGATCTTAGTGCTGGAACATCTCTGAAATTTGAGCTGTCTCATTAAAAGCATAATGTTGTGGCCAATTTTCTGCAGCTACATTCTCTCTTTCATGGCCCTACCATAATTACAGGTTTGATGAGGTATTGTTATGTTGTGGTAAGATTTTACTTCATTGCACCATTTTATTTGGGATTCCAGCATAAAGGTTTCTTGCAGGCCCAAGTCTGTAAATCTCTGCTGACCAGAATTCAAATCTGCACATAGTTTTGTTATACTTCCATTAAATACTTGTGTACTTGACCATTTCTGTATGGCTTGCTACAAAATACATTTGTGTTCTTAAGGTGATGGGTATGTGATCCATGATTTATTCACATGACTTATTCTCAAATGCTTATGATTTAGATGCATCCAAGTGTTTTCACTTAAATGGCAGCTGTAATTATATCAATAAATATACAGCATCCAATAATTCTTGAGGTGTCATAGAGAATTTAATAAAAACTTCTTTTTATGTAAAAGTTTGTCAGGATATGCCACAAATGTTAAGGTGTCTCTTTTTCCCTTGCTCTCAGTTTCAGGGTAGCTTGCATTTAAAAGCAAGTAGCAGCTTGCTTCCATTTGTTACCAAAATAACATGGTAGGAGCAATCAGTTTCAATTGCTGCTGATAATTATAAGGTGCAATAATTGAGAATATAGAGAAAAGGAGACCGTGAGCTGTATTTGAACTCAGTACTTAAGCAATAAAAAATTTATCAAACTGCAAAAAATAAGTCATTTTAACGAGCACATTCCAAAGGTGCTGGATTTATGAGGAGACCCCAGGAAACTTTGATTGAAATTGCTGTCTCTGATTGTAGTTCTATATTTTATTGGTGCCATATTGTGAGCAGTGCTGCTGCCAAAGTGAATGGGAAGGCAGCATAGCAGAGAGAGTTAACCCAGAAAGGTTACTTCTTTTTATAATATCCATGATGTATTGCATTAAAAATGCTTTGAAAGCCATCCTATTTGCAGTTTTCAGAAAACATTTTTCTTAAATTAAGGTACGATTTATCTGAACAGGGTAGAAAATATGAAAGCCCCTTGAAGAGTTTAGTATTGATTTTTCTGAGTATTTGCTAGCTCTTGTTTTCTCATTTTTGTGCTCCTTGATGGAAGGGCCTAGAGCTGCTCCTGTGAGTGAGAGCTTCAGTTGGATGAGCCCTGCAGCAGTGAAGGGAGGGAACTTGGAGATTGTAAGAATTTTCACTTAAGAACATTCAGATTGGCTCTTTAATAGGCTTTGTCTCTCTGCTTCCTGAATTTAGATAATACTTCATTGATATAATAATTAATAAATTGTCTTAATTTTCTAAAGGCTGCTCCCAGCTAAACAACCTGCAGTAACCATGTGAGATGAATGACATGAATATTTTAGAAATGTGAGCTTGTGGTCACACTTTGTGCATGCCTCTTATAATAAGAGCTATACATCTTTAATGTTTTTCTTCTAGAATTTACTTAAGACAAAGGTTTTAAAAATTATTGTACAAAAGCACATTTCAAATGGACAGTGAAATGGACACAGTTGCTAAGTTCTAAGCAAGAGTTGGGCATGGTGCATAGTTAATTTCTAACTGTTCACTGCTGTTCTGTGCCAGCTACTTATTAAAACTTCATCCCTCTTCTGTCAAAATGCACTGTTACTTTAGCTGTAAAACTGTTACACCATAGCTCCCAAATACCTTGTTATAAATGCTGACTGTATCTTTCAATTTATACTGCAGTGAAGTAAGCTTATGAAAATGGTTCTGAGGGATTAAGCTCTAAATACTATTTCTATGCAGTGGATTATTTTTTCCCCAAGCTCAACACGTTCATGTTGCATAATGATAAGAAAAGTGTTGTGACAAATGCATTGAAGCTTCATTGGCTCTTGCACATGTTATCTAGCATGTTTGACTAGTAATTTTGAGAAAAGAATGACAGAGATGATTCCAAGATTTGCTTTGTTGGTCTAGACTGTATTTTGTAACCATTATTTCACCTTTGCCTCAGTTTATGATTTGGTGAAATTGCAAGTACATAAACAAATGAAATTTTTCCTAAAATGCTTTGGCAGTTTACAACTTGAAATTCTTTCAGAAGTTATCTATTGTTATATCAATGTTGCTGCATTTTTTGATTTTTTTTTTCTTCCGTGCTTGTAGTTTTAGTAATGAAAAAAAATTAGTGATGCTTAACTAAAACTCCCCTTACACGTGCTTAAGAGTTTCAGAAAACCTTAAGTCCATTACAAGCCTTGACTTGATTAGCCTTCACTTGGTAGTTAACTTAAAGTTTTCACCTTGGTAAAGTTGGTTGCAAAACAATTCTTGATCTCATATGGCTTTTATTTTTCTTTTACCTGTTGCCTACTTTTGAATTTGGAGATGATGATTCTAGCAAGTGGAGACTGTAGAATCTTTAAGCCTATTCAGATTGTACCAGTATGGGATGTCTTTAAGTCTAAGCCAGATTTTGTATTTATGATTCTTACCTGTTCCCTCATTCTTGTGGTCTCTTTCTCTCTCTCAAGATTCATCTGTAAAAGAAAGCAACGAACAGGAACTGAAGGGAAGAGACCCAGCTGTTTGGCACGTGGGCTTGAAGGTGGCATGGGACATAGAGACACCTGGCTTGGCAGTGCCACTTCACCAAGGAGACATCTACTTGATGCTTGGTAATTTTCAAGGACTAAAATGTTGAACTGTCTGCTGAAAATAGAGAAAATTACACTTATGTTAAAATGAGTTACCATACCTTCCTTACAGTTAGGACTTTTCTTATTTAGTAAAACATGAAATCTGTCTGGAGTATATAGTAAATTTCTCCTGCTCTGCCTACTTCCAAGGTATTTAGGGGAACTTTTTTTCTTAATGTTTGTTTCCCTTTACAGCTAAGAAAGAAATAGTCTTTTTTCACCTTTTCTGTCTGTTGTGCAGTCAGAATTACTAGTTCAAGTTAAACTTCAGGCCATAACTAGAATTTCCCCAGATCTTGCCAGAAGTTGTGCTGTATTTCTTCCATCCTTATATTTCTAGGTTCTTTTTGTATTCTTAATGCAGTTTTTCTGAGCATCTCTTATGTTCGACGAATAAATTTCTGTTCTTCAGCTTGGCTTATCAAGTGACACCTGTATTATGTGGGATGTGAATGAATGTCCTAAAGTTTTCTGGTACCATGGTCCTTGAGGTTTCAGTCATTATGCCAATCTGTGGATATTTTATTAGTCACCAGTTTTACACATGACACTTCTCTCCTTCTGCTACTATGTCTACATTCAAGCATGCTGTTTTCTAGTAGTGGGATTATGCTGAGATCATAATGAACACAGCTGTCTTACTCCAAGAATGAGTCTCAATGTCTCAAGCGTAGAGGATTAAGAAAAGAAAATTAAATTGAGTTAATTTGCTGGAGCAGCTGAGCTCATGTGCTAAGGTTTATCCATTGAAAGAAACGAAGCAAGAGCTGTTGCTAAGGTTTGTTGACACAAAATCTGTTGCTTTCTCTTTTGGCTTCTGTTTCTCTTGGTTTTCATTTTTGTTAAAATAAATTTAGTTATAGATTACACTAAAAACAATAACAAGGTTTCTGACAACATCATGTTGGCCTGTTTAGTGTCTTGGCTTGACATACATCATCTTTGAAGACTGAGAGCACTTGCAGAGCTCCCTGCTTATGTGATTGTGACTTGGAAGGCATATTCCTTGGAATGTCCCTCGAATGACTTGTCACACTCCCAGCTTTATGGGCAGAACAGTCTTTTGAACTGTACCTTTCACAGTATATATACTAAAAAACAATTCCTTTATAAGCCATCATAAAACCCATGTGCCATTCCTTGTTCTTAGTTATCTCATCAAATCCTTCTGCAGGGAAGTGTAGTGTAGAAGTACTGGACTAACTGTGCTCTAAAGAATGTTCAGACATGGAAAGATCAGGTGTTAAGATGTGTGATCCTTTGGCATAGTGGTCTGGACGTGCCTCCCTTTTTTGTAAGGGCATGAAGTAGAAGCCTAGAAGGAAAGAGGGACAGTGAAAATGAACTTTAAGTGGCAGCTAAACATTCCTAGGAGGGTTATTATAATCTATTTTTGTGCAATAGCAGTTAGGGCATCAAGTAAACTTCTTATCTAATCCTTCCTGACTGGAAACTTTGAGCATATAGAGCATTGCTGGCCAAGAGATTCAGAAGGTATTTAATAAAAGAAGGGGACTAACTTTAGTGTTTTTATTGCAAAATACTGTAGATTGTAGTTGATTGAGTTACCAGATCATAAGGGTGTTTTTTATTCCCTAGTGGAATTTATATAGTGACTAAAGTATTTTCAGAGATTCTATATGAAGGGTAGATCAGAAAGTTAGTTTATTTAATGAGTAACATCATGAGCATGTTTAGATGGAAACAAAGGATATATTAAACATTCTTTTGAAGATGATGTGTAAATCACTTTCTTATTAGTACTTTTGAAGAGCTACAGATTTGAGCTCTGTAGGCCAGGTGTTTTTTTAATCTCTTCTGCATTTCCATAGTCTTTGTGTTTCTTTTCAATTACTTGGGGAGAAAATTACTCTTCTAAATAGTCTTAGGGGGTATTCTCAAAATGGCCCTTTTATTGGCTTTCTTTGTGTAGCAGGACTGCCTTTATCATTTTGACTTGGAGTGAAAGACAATATAAGGAAACATATATAGTTCCAGTGTATGTTTTACTGTTTGGATTTTTTACATTAACTTTTAACAGGGGATATCTTGAAGATGCCAACTAAAAGACAAAATATGAAAACTCTGTAAAAAAAGAAACTTGACAGTAATAAAAAAAAGAAGATTAATTTGTCTTACGCTTTTGTACATGTTGTATTCCAGAACCTCATGTCAGTAAGCAGAGTCCTCTTACTGGCATTATGTTAAAAGCAGTGGCAGAATGCAAGACATCTAGAAAGCAGAATATTGAAGAGTCCTGCAGCTGGTGGTGGTTCATGTACAGGCACTGATTGATAGGACTGGGGGGATTGGTTGTGACCACCACTGACTCACCCACCCCAGCACAGAACTCAGCCACTCTGTAGGTCTGTCCTTCCAGTTGCTGGAATGGTGTAGTGTTACTGCTTTATATGAATGCTGAAAATGCTGAAACATCACATTCAACATGTTGCTTATAATTTAAAAGTCAGGTCCTATCAATTTCTGTACCTGTAATACCACTAGTATTTCCTGTGGTACACACAAATCTATATAAGAGAGTGTGGTAACTGGATATTTCTTATAGTAAGATGCAATTACAGTAACTTGTAAATCAAGATCAATGGGTATAGCAAAGTAACAAAAAAAACCCAGTTTTTTCTTTTTAGCATTTCTAGTAGACATTTAATAATGTTTCTGTTCCTCTCTTCATTGGCTTTATGAATGTTTTTTTATTATTCTGGGGAGAAATTAAGTAAAATGTCTTATAATTTAAATTTACATTGTCCTTCTCCAGCAGCCCTCTTCAGATAAAATCATGGGCCATAATTTAGATGTATGTTAATACTAAACATAGGATGATCACATCCGTTCTTCTTTTAAGCTATTACAACAATATAAATGTATTTTATTAAGCAAAACCAGCAAAAACTCAAAATTATTTTGAGTAAGACTGATTTTTTTAAATAATTTTTTAGGCTTTTCTTAATATGAAGAAAAAAGTCTGGTGAATGGCTGCAAGTCTGCTGCCTAAAAATTCAAATCTAAACTTTATATCACTCATGACACGGAAACACTTTAGCTCAATTTGGAATAATATATTGGTCTGCAGAGGAAGTGCACACTGAACCCTGCTGCCTCAAGTACACAGTCAAGGGGTGTCTAATATGAAAAGTGTTGGGTGCATGCAATAAATCCAAAACTCGTGGAGGTGAGCAAAGGGCCCCATCTGCTCTGTCCTGGAGCATGCTTAACTAGGCTTGTCATGGTCCTACTATTAAATTGGAGTTGTTTTCCCTAATCTTTGCGTTAGACATGACCAGATTTGCAAGCAGATTTACAATTTTCACTAATTTTCCTACCATGACTTCAAAACATACTTAACAAAAATACATTCTGGACTCTTTCAAAGGCAGATTTACTTTTCTGCAGCTGTTTCCCATAGATCAAGCTCTTAGCTTGAAGGTCAGGGTTTTAAAACAGCATGAAGATGAACTTTCAGTCTTATACCACTCCCCACCCCCAGCAAATTATACTTTGAGAAGCATCAAAAAATTATTTTCATAACCAACCAGAAGTAGGTTGCACACATTGCAGAGTTGGCTTGTGGTTAAAGCTAATATTTAATGGAAACACTTCCACATGTATAAAGTGACTCATTAAACTGTTTCTAGATATTTAATCTGCTTCTATTTTCACAAATGAACTTGAACCCTCTTTGCTCTCTAGCATCTTGAATGTGTTGGAGCTTTTCACCTCCTCCTTTTTTTGAGTCTACATTTAATCCAAATGGTACATTTGGATTAGCTACTCCTAAGACTTAGAACTCCAGAAATATATTTGTCATTAAAAAACTTTGATTGCGAAGTTTGCAAACTCTGACATATTTCTTTTAAATTCATTATTTTTCTAGTTTTTAGACTTTTAATTTGTTTTTATTTGTGCACGTTTTTTCTTGTTTGTTAATGGTAGTTAAGAAAATTAATAACAAAAGTCCATTCCATTTCACTTTTGTTTGTAGATATTTGTGGTGATTAGAATATCAAAGATTTTGCCAGTGCTTTGAACACCACTGTACCTTTTATTTGCCTCTTGAAATAGATAAGAGACAACTGTCCAAAAAGTTCATGGGGAACACTTTAGAGAAGATAGAAAAGACTATATAAATCCCTGTTGGTAATTCTGGGAGCCATTTTTCCTTGTTGTTTGTGTTTTCCTGGGAAATATTTTACCTCAAAGTAATAAGTTTAGGGCCTTTAGCCTCCACTTCTTTAAGGATTGGCTAAGATTTTCTTATCTTTCTACCTTTTATTTGTTATGTTGCAATAGTCTGCAGTAACGTGGGTGTCACATTGTTCCTCTTGAAGTGCTTTGTCTCAGCTCCCTGATAGTTCAGTGGTAAAATGAGAATTAAGTGTCTGTGTGTTATTTCAGTGTCTGTGCACAGACATATCCATTAGTCTGTTCTTTTGACAAAGGCTGTGTGAGCACGGGGCTTTCAGTGCTGCTGGTGGAGCCCACGTAATTCAGCTGTCAGAAGAGAGCCCAGAGGGGACAGAGCAAGGGCTGGGACTGAGAACGGGATCAGAGAGCAAAGGGAGGATCTGGCAGTAGTTTGAAGGAGAGGAGAGGACTGTGCTGAAGGTCTGTGCTGGAGGGATGTATTTTGAGAAAACAAGAGGCAGAAAACCCCAGATGTCAGTACAGTGCAGGGAGAGAGAGATATACCATGTGAACTTGCCTCCACAATTAAAAGTTGAATATGCAACATCCAGAGTCCAAAATTTATCTGCTATCTGTAAATAACAGTGATATCACTGAGAAGTTTAACTGATGGGGGGTCCCATGTAGAGAATAATAGCCTGCATTCTGTGCTGAAGAGTCTGTGTTTTGCTTTTGCAGACCTGATGGGCCAGTGCTTAGTCATGTAAAGCTGAGGCTGACTCCTTAAGACTTGTTTTTTACTGAACCCCACGAGAGCTCTGTGGTACTTCCAACATGGGTGACCAAGGAATGAAACAGCTTTGGTTTGGCTCTAAAACCAAAATAGCATTCTGGGTGTAGTGTTCTGTATCTGAATAAAAGCTTTTAATGCCAGATGGACAATGGCCAATTTAACAAAGAGTGATTTTTTCTTTTCAGTTAATATATATTTGGGAGAAAAAGAAATCAAATCTTTGCCACAATCTTTTATGGCCTAAAAGGTATTTTTTAATATGCTTTGAAGCATGCAATCAATGAAGCTTCAACTATTTTAGTACAATTAGAGTTTTAAATTTTTTGCTAACTTTTAAATTAAAATTACAGGCTTCTTTCTGAGATTCATAAAGGATTAGAGACAGTTGGGAGCAGTTCCAAGGTGCAGCTCTGCAATGAAAGTTATGCCAAGGGTTTGAATAAAGGTGCACATCAAAATGTAATGTCTAATTCTATGTTTGCTACATACAGCCATAAAGAATGGGCACGGAAAGGGGTAGTGAAAGTGTTTAGGTTTGTTTTCTGACACAATTCTTCTTGAAAGTGATTGTGGTATTTAAATATTGTGATGTCCAGAGATGATAATGTTCTGTGGCCCTTGCAAGACTGGATTCTGTGCAATTTATCCTCATATGTGTCTATAGGAAATAGTTTTTAATAAGGTTTTGTTGGGTTTTTTTAGCATTTTGTTTTCAAGAACTTTGAGCATGTTTAGTGTTTTTGGGAAAAGAGATTGTAACTTCCATGTAGCCTCTTTATTCTCCTCCATAGTCTAGATTTAGTAGCCTCCTCAGCTTTGGAGGAATTAATTTGTTTAGGTGAACTTTCCCTATGAGAGGTGGGAAAATGCCACTTCTAAACTGTATAGGAGAAAGCTAGTGTAAGTAGAAATATTTCTGACTCTAGGATAGTAAATAGTTACTGTGCTCTGCAGAACATTGGAGCTATGTGGCTGAATTCTCTAAGCATTAAAGCAAGATAAATAGTGTACTTAATTCATATTCAACCAGATTAACTTTGATTAAGTATAATTTTTCCCTGTACTTAAGGTTTTCTAATCTGTCCCTAGATGACCTCAATATGACCCATCAGCACTGTGTTCTGGCTGGTTTGTCACCTCGGTTCAGCTCCACTCACAGGGTGGCAGATGTAAGTACCAAAACCATTTCACTCTTTGGTCCCTTGTACAGCCAGTATCCTGGTGCCATGTATGCAGCACCAGGATATCAGAATTGTGGTTCATGTTATGCTTATGACTCAAACTCTTTTCATTAACTGCCATTGTTTATTTTTGATTGAGGTACAATTGGTTCTGTATTGGTAGTTGGCCTTAACTCCCAGCTGGGCTTATCAGATGTGAATTGTGAATGTGCTGCACCACACCTCACGGATTGCTGATGAAATGTAGTTGAGAAATACAAATTTTCTGAAGTGGCTATATATAAGTTTTTATTGTATCTTTACAGTCTTCAAGAGGAACATTGGAATACATATTTGGGCGGTGTGAACTGGCACTCCAGAATTTACAGACTGATCCTGATTCAATGGCTTTGTCTTTGAGATCACTGGAAGCTGCAGTGGTGAAGCAAGTAGAAGAAATACATAATGAGGTGAGATGGTCCACACTGAAAACACCTCAGCCAGGTCTGAGCAGTGCATCTCCTCATGGAGTTAATGGCAATTAAGTGTGTTCAGCTGCTTACAAGGCATTGCTTTGTAGGAGTTTGCAATGTGGATTTTATGTCTTTTTTACCTGGGTACAGTAATTGGGATTATTGTGGAAGTTTTCATTTTTCCTTCTTAAGATCCCTCTGCTGGTAAAGTGAGAGAAGTTTCACAAAATACTGCACCAGAACTGACAGCGTGGTGGTCAAACAGACTACTCTAGCACTTCTCTAACAGAAAGGAAGAGAGAGAAGGGATTAGAGGGAAAGGAGCAGGTAGATTTTTTCAGTTATTCCTCCCTGGTTTTTGTTGAACCAGGTCTTTGCATAATGCCATGGGTGGCGTAATTGTGACTGTGTGCTCTAAAGTATGTTCTGAAGAAAATACAGCGGAAATACTTGTCAGGAACATATTTTAACAGGTCACTTAGTTCTACAAAAGATGCAAGTGTATTAATGCACTTGGACAGAATTTCACTGAAGCTGGAAGTGCTTTCTTGCTTGGAGCTGTGCTGTATTTCTACTAAGATAAATTAGAAGCTGTACAAAGGTCATTTGCACTCAAATTAGAATTCGTGTAAAATGTTTAAATTTCTGTCTGCTGAGGAATATAATATTGTGTAGTGCTACTAAAACTTTGTAGAACACATTTTTATCTGTATTGTGTTTACAGTTGGTAAAATGGAGCATAGCGTTGGCAAAAGATTTGCGCCCTTGACTTTTACCAAAACAGCTCCTAGGGCAATTTAAAGAAGTCTGATGCATGCAGGGGTTTACAAAACATTAATCAGGCTCAGTCCATAAAACTACACGCATATGTGGTTTGCACAGCAAGGGCCACAGGCACAGCTGGTATAAATTTGCACGGGTCCTTTAACATCAAAGGCATGTGCTGTTTACATCAGGTGAGAGAGTAGCCCCTGGTGTTTGCAGTCACCTGAATAATTTTGCAATGTGACATACAGGGATGTTTCCTGTTACACATATGGGATATACTGTAACAGCAATCCTTGTTTAACTTGTACTTATTGTGCACTTAGTAGACACACTGGATCTATATTTAATTTGAAAAGAGACTACCCATCCTCCTATTTTACTATTCTTTTTTTTTTCCCCTTAATTTTTTATCCCAAGGTCAAATCTTCACTTCCTATTAGAATGCTCCTTAAATTTCATTTATTGCTGCACAAGTAGACAAAATTTCTAGGGGCTTATCTCTGTGGTAAATGCCAATTTATTTTTTTTTCAAACATCACTGAGCTGAAAATATAAAGACCTGTGAAGCTAATGCAACTTCTCTTGCATATAAAAGCTTCCTACCTTCCTGTATGATAAATCTTTGTCTTTTCACGTGCTAATAGAAGTTTTAGGTTCAAACTTTATCAGGCAGATGGAAGAACAAGAGACTGTTTTGTTTCTTAAAAGAATCAAACTGCTTACTGATGAAAATGAACCTTTCATTTCACACTCTTAGTTTGTTAGCAGTTTTTAATGTAAAATCAAAATCACTAAAATCCAGATCTCCATAAGATTGATGGAGAACTGCCAGCCAGTTTCCCAGTTTTGCCTGTGTATTTCTGATAGACAGCTTTCTGTGCTATTCATAAAGCTCCTTGCAAATTTTTTTATCTTCTTCTGAACCAGAGATCATGAGCTTGAAATGAGATAGTGTCTAGGGGTGATGACATTGTTGTATTTTATTTTTAAATATTGTCTTAACTGAAGTTTTTCAGTTTTAACTCTTATAACTAGCTGCAGCCATTCTTCTTGGTGCTTTATCTTCCTGAAATGCTACGGGTTCATTCTTTTTGCCCCCTTGCTGCTACCTCCAAAGCAATCATCAGAGACCATTAACCAGAACAGAACCATCACAGTACCAAGCTAAAGTCTACTAGTTTAGCAGATTCACAAACTGTGCTGAAATTAACTGCTCTGCCAAATGAGGCCTGGATGAATTATCTGTGTCTGCTCGAGGGAAAAAGCCTAAGAGCGGGTCTGAAAGAATGAGGAATGGTTCTGTGCCTTCACTTTTGTACTCCTGGGCAGGAAAATTGACTTGCTGTGCTGATAAAGTGTGTTTGAACTGAGGATCTGAAGCATAGGTGGAGACTTCATTTTTTTTCCAGTTTTTTGGTAGGTAGAGAAACCTCTGAAAGAGTATCTGGGGGGTGTCCTTACTTGATGTTAGATTTCCCAGAGTTCATTTTTCAGGGCCCTGTCTTGGATGCCTTGACAGAGATATTCCTGTTGAAAAAGTGAAATGCTAACCTGAGGAGGATTTTAGCATCTCTAGTGGGCAGCCAGGTGGAAGTTTAGTATTTCTTTAAACCTGGCTTAGTTGTCATGGTCTCCCTCACTAAAACAGCCTTCAAAGGAATATCTGAGTAATTGCAAGGTATGTGCTGTGTGTTAGATGTGTGAGTCACTTCACTCCCAGTGTGTACTTTGTAGCTGTAAGTAAAGATAACCTTAATTAAGGGTGTTCACGTGCAGTTTGTCTGTGCTGCTCATGGCCTTGCAGTGGCAGGGATGTAGGAGGGTGAGGAGATGCAGTTACCTGGCAGCTGGGGAGCACAATAGCCTGGCAGCTCACACACAGTCACAACCAGGCTGTTGTTTGGTCAGGAATAGTTTATCCCAAAAGAAATGATCTCGCACAATTCTCTGAATGGCAACTTCTTGCTCCTCCTACTACTTTCCTCCTACTTGGCTTTTCTAAACGTGTACAGCTGCTGACTACATCCCAAACAGAGCTACAGGGCACCTGGGGAAAACCGCTGGCAGCTAAATTATTTTTAAAGAAATTAAATACTGCTGGACAGACAATGTAACTGCTCATACATATAAGAATAAATCTGAAGAAAAGATCTTCACTAGCCTGTTCTTCACATTTCAAAGAAAATTTGTCTTGCTCTGACTAATGCAGAATCTGCTAATAGTTCATGTTGGTGTGAGGTATTTTCAAGGTTTCTGTATTTGCCAGCACCAAACTAATATTCAGATGTCCTCAGTGTAGTGAAACACCAGAGGCAGTCTTTTGTGTCATGGGATTGTGTTGAAAATATGGCAGGTTTCAAACTAAGTACTTAAGTTGGAAAGGTGGGGATTTGTTCACATCAGGGTGTTTGCTCAGCTGTGATAATCAGATCCTGATTGCCATGATTAAAACTAGAGACTGAATTGGTTGCCCTGTTGCTTGTGAGGTACAGTCACTTTTGCCTACAGCAAATCTGTTTTTATGGCAACAGGAGATTAATTGAGCTTGGAGAATGCATGGGGAGGTAAAACATGGGCTAGCTGAGTTGAAGGGATGTGGTGTTGGACAAAGAGGTCGTGGGTGAGAAGGGGAGTGGTGCAGGCAGCCAAAAGAAGATTAGTTTGTTTTAGCACATTATAGTGAGCTGACAGCATGGTTGGTGGCTACTAGTATGGCAGAGAGAAAATATAGATCGCCTACATGTGCGGCATTGAATAACCAGTACTTTTAAAGAATTGACTGAGGAGCATTGCCTCACAGAATGTCAAATGCTGCTGTTGGCCTTTTACTGCCCAGTATTGGCAATAACCTAAAATTGGCCTTTAATCATTGCTTAAAGGACAACTTGAAAATATGTTGAGATTAGACACATGAGGCCTGATTCTGGGCTGACTTGCACAGATGTAAGTCATAAGTGAAAATCAATTAGAAGATGAAAGTTATTCCTCAGATACTTAGCCTGTATATTTTTATTTGTAAATATGTTTAAGCTGTGTCCTTTTCAGTCATGTAAAATATTTTCTAATGATAACTGAAGTTAGTTCTCATGTATGGAAGTCTCCAAATTAAAACTCTCTGACAAAATCTTTACTTAGCAAGAGCGGTTAACCTGAGAGTTTTGTCACAGAAGATGAATGTTCTCTAAACTTCCATTCCAGTAGGGCTAGAAATGAGCTTTTTGTGTCTCTCCAGTATTTAGTGTTGAGGTTTTTTTAATGGTACAGCTTCTATGCATGGAAGAAGACAAGCCAAGAGGAGTGATTTCCTGCTACAGAGAAAAGTTATTACAGAAGAGAAATAATGTCACCCTTGCATCATGTGCATGGAAGGAGACAAACCAAGAGGAGTGATTTCCTGCAGAGAAAAGTTATTACAGAAGAGAAATAATGTCACCCTTGCATCATCAAGATAATTTTCTTTCTCAGAATCAACAGATACCTGTTCAGAGGTCATAGTTCAGAGCACACACTTGTCAAGCAGTTTGGAGGGTGAAACATTTTCTGGAGGGCCAGCTTGGAGAGTGAAACATTTTCTCCCCAACCCCAATTTATTAAGCCAGGTTAGAGCTAAACAGCTCAGCTGTGAGATGAATGCAGAGCAGAGTTTGATAGCTGTGTGAGATGGCAGTCCACATCATTAAACAGCCTCTTGTTGCAATTAGGTACACACTGACCTCTGATGAGACCAGCTAATCCTGCAGAAAATGAACTAGCTTGTTGCTCTACTTTATGTCTTAGACCTAAAAACCTACTCTTTTGGGTCAAATTATATGTATTTTGTATGGGATCAAGATACATTTAAATTTTGGCCAATATGCCAGACTGCAATTAGAGTGAAGTTACATAAATTATTGCAACAAATCAATATGACTAGGTAAAAATCAGATTGACTGAAATAGATCTGTGATGAGTCATATTTTAAGATTGATTTTAATAATTTTTTTTCATTGATTAATGGCCTCGTGACTAATTTCATGGAACCTGTTTACCAGACAGCACGTGGTAGAGGCCAAAAATCTCAAAAAGAAGTGAAGAGAGAAAAAAAACAGTTCTTAAAATGCTAATTGAAGAATGGTATGCTCAGCTTTCCCAAAACTGCATATACTGGTTTTGGTTTGGTTTTTTTTCCTACCAAACCATAACTAGGTCCTTCATACCTCATTAATATTATAGAGGAAGCAAAGTTTCTTTCAACTTCTTTTTTTTTTTTTTTTTTTTTTTTTTTTTTTTTTTTTTTTTTTTGGAAGGATGTCATCAAACTTCTGTGCTAAAAAGTCACTGGCTAGCAGTCAGGATTTTTTTAAAACATTTTAAGATCTGTGTCTGCCAACTAATCATGCTATATTTTACTAACAAAGTTCCTTTATTATTCTTTTTATACACTGAAAATTTAAGTATTTTTAATTGTAATCTTTACTGTATGGACCAAATCTTCAGTTAATGTCAACTGGACCACTTTCAGATTTCTGCAGCTGTTCAGTTTTCTCTTGCAGGAAAGGGAGTGTTAGGTGACAGCTTTGGGCAGTTTTCTTTATTCTTTCACCTTGGTAGGTTGTCTTTGTTTGCATCTTCAGAGCTGAGCAGGGATAAACAAATCTTCTTTGTGGTACAAATAATGATTAAAGCAGCTTTGAACTCAGTGTGAAACATAACTACCACAACAAAGATAAATATGGAATTCTAAAGACCAGAACTATGGATTACTCTTAAAGAAAAGCAGCATCTTTGCTAACTGGGCTGTCTGGTGAAGGATGAGAGGCTGTGATTCCTTGTGTGCTCCCCTCTCATTCCATAGCAACTGGGCTGCATTCTAGCAATGTTATTACTGCAAGTGTTTTTCCATCTTTGTGACTGAAACAATTTGAAACCCACAGTGTTAATCACAATAAGCCAGGGTTGGTGCATATTGGGCTGGAATTTTTAATGTTTGTTATACACATACACCATGTAAAAAAGAGTTGAGTTTTGCACCTCTCTGGGTTTGAAGGGAGTAGCTCAGGTCACAAATGGATGTGGAGTAGAAATAACCATCTGGGTGTGTTTAGAGAGGAACAGTCAGGGTGTGTTTAGGAATGACCTGCTTTGCTAACTGTCTCCTTTCCTGTGGGACTGTTCAGGTATAGCTGGATTCTTGCCTTACCCTGTTCCTGCCCCAGATAAGGACTGTGGATGTTTATGGTGCCATATGTTTTTATCTTGCAGGTTGAATTTGAGTGGCTTAGACAGTTTTGGTTCCAAGGCAAGAGGTATTTGAAGTGCACTGATTGGTGGCTTAAGCCTATGGCTAAATTGGAAGAATTTTGGAGAAAACTGGAGATTATGGTAAGTACTGGTTTTAAAGTCTAAAGCCGCTAGGGCCTAATTCTGAGAGCACTCACAATTATGTTTTTAATTGTACTGTAGTAATGGGGTTTAGACTTTATTCAGAACATATGAGAAGCAGAATCAATGTCAGCCTTTCACTGTCTCCTCTTACTTTTATCCCCCAGTAGCCAGAAAAAATGTGAGCAAAATCAGATCCAAAACCCCAGGATTTTAGTTAGTTCTTGACTTTGCTTGTTTTTAAAGTTTGAAAGCCTCATATGAGCGTTTTAGAGCCTCACAAGATGACAGCCACATATTACACCACACAAATACTGTGCATTGTCAACTTTTTTGTACAACACCCTGACGGACACCTCTGCTAGTGACAACAGTAGTGCACGTGTCAGAGGAAAGCTGAGAACAAAATTGGTCATCTGGAAGTACAATTGTCTGTGGTCCACCTGCACTCTTAGACCAAAGCCAGAACCTGCAAGAGGGGATTATTTCAAGAATCAACGTAATAATGATTTTTGGGTACTTCAAAGTACATTGTGCATTTCTTGAAAAGGGATTCAGTGGCAAACACTGCTACCCTGTTGCTGCTGCTGTCCACGTAGAGCCTCAGGTCAGAGCCTGTGCTGTCAGAGCTCCAGAGCAGTTGCCAGCATGCCTTTTTCTGGGTTTTTTTTGCACTCAGAAGGGGCTGTGCCGGCAAACCCATTGTCCTCCTCTCCATCCATCTGCATCAGAAGCTGCTTCTTGGTCATTTCTGCTGGCCACAGCATAAACTAGCCTCGGTTTGCCTGTACTGGCTTGGAAGAGTTTGTGTTGTAGTTGAGGATGCTGAGTACCACTTGTGTCAGGGCTGTGTTTGCGGTGCAACAAGAACCTGGGGTCCTTCCTTAGACCTTCCTGGACAGGAAATGCTGTGGCTCAGCTGCTCAAATGCAGTGTGAGCTGCCCCAGCAGTGGCTGGTTCAGACTCAGAAAACGTACCCAGAAAAGTGGACATTTGAATTGTGGAACCAGTTGCTACAAGAAATCAATGAAGATTGAATTTTGTGGGGGTTTTTGGGGTTTTTTCCCTTTTTTTGTTGTGTTCTTCTGTGCTCACATTCTTGAACGACCCTTATAATTTAAAAAAAAATCTTCTGGTTTGTTTTTCTTTCAAATGACAACTTACTCTCTTGTAACACAGGCTTAGATGAGGTAGAGACAAGAATGTTTGATATTTTATATCCATTGTGTGTTGAAAACACGGAAAAACAGCAAACTCTGGAACTCTCAAGGGTTAGGTTTTCTGCAATTGGTGTGACATTGCCATGTGTCTCTAATTAGAAGCATGGTGGCGTCAGTGTATCTCCTTTCAACAAGCCTCGGGATGATATTTATCAGCAAACCCAAGCTCGGGCCAAGACAGGAGCTGCTTCTAATTTATATTTTAAGAATCGCTTTAATGTTTTATGACTTATAACATATTAATCACAATTAATTTCAGCTATTGGAGGAGACAGAAGAGCATGTTAATTGGGGCTGTCTGCTTGCCGAGCCTCTCGGTGCGCTCGGCGGATTTTGGGGCCGCGGGGCGCGACTCGCGCTGCGGTGCCGGCCCGCCGCCGTCAGGGGGCAGTGTTGAGCCGCGCGTTGGGCGCTCCCGGCCCTGGAATTGCGCTGGAATTGCGGCGGGAGCGATCCCCGCGCTGCTGCCGCCAGCCCCATCCGCGATTCCACAGCTCGGGAAATCCAGCGCTGTGGGGTAACCCGTTCAACGGCAATTTAACATCAAAACTGCGCTGCTTTGGGGCATGGTTAGCTTCCACGGCTAAGTTAAACATAAGGGTATTTTTGAAGGTAGCCAGTAGTCTGCACCCGATGGGGGTTTTTTCTTCCGAATTTGTAACTTTACCTGGATGATTCTTAAAAAAAAAAAAAAAAAAAAAGAAAAAAGAATAAAATGCTAAAAGTAAAATGTCTTAGAATTGTTGGTCTTGTTTTGGAAGGATTTTGCTGCTCAAAAGGAATTCTTTCTTAAAAGGAAATATTTAAGCATGTATTTTTCCTTTGTGTGTGAGCTGAACAACTGTTGACATAGCGTTTTTATATATGTGTCTAGAGTGAGACAAAAGTCAGTCTCAGGGACCTTCTGTGTGGTTTTTTTTTAGGTTTTCCCCTTGTTTAACAAAGAAGGGAATAAAGTTTCAAAAATTATCTCTCATTCTGCTAATTGTAATTACTCTTCTGTCACGGCAGAGTATGATATTGTAGGAAGTTCAGCCCAGTGTCTTCAAACCTGTGGGCTTTATTAAATATTTTTGTACATTATAGCAAGCACGCAATTTTATCATAATGTTTATTCCTGGCATTTCTTTCCCTGAGGATAGTTTTACTAAGAGCTCACTCTTGTGATGTAAATGTTAAACCTTTCATTTGAATGACATTCTGATAAAACATCACATTTCCCACAATATTACCTCATGAATTTATGAGCCATTAAATCCGAAGCAGTTTAACCAATCTTCCTTTTTTTCTCCCCCTCCCTTGAAAATATGAAGGCTATTCATATGTTGGAGGGTTTTTTTTTTTAAAAGTCATCCAAGATTAACACGTTATCGCCTGCAACATCAGGATAAATGCTTGCAGAATTCAAAGGGAGAGTTACCATTTGAAAAAAGACCGTATAGGCTTTGCTTTCTGGGTAAAGAGAAGTCTGAAAAGCTGAAATCTCATGTGATGTGAGCAAGTCTTGCTGTAGCTGTTCTGAGATTCAGTGGAGAGACAATTTGTCTCTCAGGGTCTGATATCATGCAAAGCTTGCAATCTGACATTTATTTTAGCTATGAAAATCTGTAACCACCACACCAAATCTGTAAGAACTGCAGAAGTCCAACAGTCTTTTTTTTTGTTATTTTGTTTTAGGTGAATTCACATGAGAAAAGTAAAATGTAAATCAGTGAAATTATTTTCGTTTGTGGAATGAAAAGTAAACGTATATGGCTACACTTGCATGTTGAATTTTTGAAGGCTTTTTTAAACATATCTAGTGTTTCCTAAAAAATAAAAAAGGGCCTTACAGTGCTATATGGTGTGAATTGTATTTCCTGCTTTGACAGTCCATTTAGCAATGTAGCAATGTATTTATATGGCAGTTGGCCTTAATAACCCTTATTGACTTCAGTGGGAAAGAGCCTAGACTGGCATTATTAAAATGTATCAATTTCATTGCAGTATAAAATCACAACATATATAATTATGTTTGGTAGGCTAGGCTCCATTTAATCCCACCTATTTATGCAGGATTTTGGCAAGACGAAAGAGAGCTTGGAGCTGAAATGTAGAGAAAAGTGTGAGTGACTTGAGTTGCATTTAACAGCACAACTGCTTCACTGCCCACGCTGAAGGCACTACTTAAAGGAATGAAACATAGATCTTGAGGAAGTAATTTCTTAATGGGATAACTGAAGCACAAGTAGTTGTTACACCATTTGTTTCATTTTTTGGCGTCTTAAAACAGCTGATGATAATGAAGTGCAGCACACCTTTTAATTTGTAGTAGTGCAAAAGCAGAAGCATGCACACTTGATGTAAGCAGAATGATCAAAGTGGCATTTCATGCAGGCTGGTATCTTTCTGCACAACTTTCATCTTGATTTGTAAAACTTTTTTAAAAACTGTCTTTAGTCTTGTTATTACTGCTATTCTTAATAACAGGCTTTTTATCAGTTTACACAACTGAATTGAAATCAGAGAGCAAGGCTATTTTATTGTAAAATATTTTTCTTTACTTTTTGAGGTCTGTTTCATTATTTGCCCCTATTGCTATATATGAACTATGTCATAGTTTCAGCTATAAGCCACTGTTGTCAGGGGCTTACAGCCTGACAGTTAGAATTGAGTCTACACTGAAATTTGAGCTACAAAATCTCAGCCCAGAGCCATTTTTTTTTTCTCCCAAATTAAAGCAAGGGTTTAAATATGTATTTAAATCAAGAGCATTTCAGTTCCCGGATAACCATGAAAAGCTCTAAGAAAAAATATGCTTTTACAAGGAATTCTCCTAGCTTTTCTAGACTTTGGCACTTCAAACAACTAACTAATTATTTAAAAAAAAATAGATAATGGGATCACAAACAGGCTGGTTACTTGCTTAGCTTCTTTCAGAAATTGCATAGCAACTTAACTGACACTTGAATTGGTTTGACCTTGTCAGCCAGAATTCCAGGAACTCTTGAGGTATTATTTTAATTTCTCTTCTGGTTTTCCCGTGGTGCTCAGATATTGCAGTGTCACACTTTATTGGAGGGCCATGTGGCCATGGGTGATCAGATTTGCCTAATGAGCTGTGAAATGCAGGAACAACATGGCAGCTCAAAAATCCACATTTTACCCATATTCATTGTCTTTTGGGGCTCTCCTTATCTGTTTAGGCCAGAGCCTTTAAATAAATGTATTTTTGGCAGATTATATTTTGTGTATACTGGAAGTCAGATGTTTCTGGAAATGTATCTTTTATCTTAAACAACAACAACAACAACAAAACCTGATCCTGGAGACTTTTTTTTCTTTTCTTTTTTTTTTTTTTTTTTTTTTTTTTTTTTTTTTTTTTTTTTTTTTTTTTTTTTTTTTTTTTTCTGGCAATAATTTCTATGACCCCAATATTTTTAGCTGTCAGAAATGGCAGAAAAGATTTAGCATTGTTTGTAGTAGAATCACAATGAAACTGTAAAAAGGAAAAAAGAAAAAAAGTAAAGTTATATTGCACATCTTTGAAGAAAAAAATTATTTACAATTCTGAGGGAATTCAGACTTAAGCTTCGAAAACAACATGTGTGCTGAAAGCACAAAAGACTGTGTTTATGATTCTCTTTGAAGTGTTTCTGCAACAGGATAAGGAAAATTTTAGAAACTGTCTGATAGTGTTCAGGGTAAATACTTAAACCCCTTTAGAGAATTTCACACACAGATACTGTGCAGCAGAAAAAAGGATACTTATGTTTCCTAAAGCTGCTACAGCCTACAGC